AACTCTCACTTATCAGTTTGTAAATTCTGCATTATGAGTATCAAGACACAATGATTTTCACACCTGCACAGTTTTGGGCATCCTGCTAATTGAAGTTTTATGTCTGAGAATTATGTCTGAGGATTTATCACTGCAGTTTTGAAGAAAATTAGTAGTTGTTGAAGGCTTTCACGGCCGGAGTTCATTAGCTGTTGTAGATTTTCCGGGTTGTATGGCCGTGGTCTTGGCATTGTAGGACCTGATGTTTCGCCAGTAGCTATGACTGGCATCCTCAGAAGTATAACACAGAAAGATTATACCTCTGTTATACCTCTGAGGATGCCAGTCACAACTACTGGCGAAATGTCAGGTCCTACAATGCCAAGACCATGGCCATACAACCCGGAAAATCGACTACAGCTAATAAAAATTAGTAGCGTTCTGTAATAACTACAGCAATTTATATTTTCTCCCAAAAAACATGTTAGTGTTTGATTAGGGTTCTAAAATCAGGTGTCTCAAATATTTTTCAGACTTGACAAAAAAGTGCATTCAGACAAATGAATTTAAGAAAGACAGTGAACCATTGAGAAGTGAAGTTGGCGTGTCTTCAGTAATCACAGATAGGTATGGCTTCTAAAACACCCTTAAACAGCAAGGTCATATGCATGGGATGTGTCTATAATTAATGCACCCACAAGCATTGGTCAGGAATACAGGGTCTCTTGCCAGGACTTCCATTCTTCTGACTATCGGGGAACTCAGTTGGAAACTGTCAGTCTTCAGCTGTTTAATATATACCAGTATTTGAGTTCTAAATATGTTAAGCAGAGCCTGGCAACGAATGGGGTGTTCACTCACATGTCTGCCATTTCCCTTGGATCCATGTCCAATGGAAGCAGTCACCATCCCCCTCCTGCAGCTGCTGCCCCTTCAGCCCACGAAATATTGCTGGAGACTACCATTGTACCAGGCTGTGCATGCAGCTCTCTAAATTTTTGGTATATGAACTATCTCAAGCCACACTCATAGCTGATATGGCACACAATAGCATTGAACCAGCAACAGATACGGCTTTTCTTCCCCCTGTGTTTATAAATGACTAGAAGCAGTTAACTGTAATCATAAATGGCTTAGTAGTTGGAGCATTTCTAGTCTAATGCAGAAATTGGGACTGATACTTAAACCAGTTTCAGTTCATGGTTGTGTGGTGGGTGACTTGTAGAAAGTTGTGCAGCAGTTTTAAACTTGTCTGTGAAGTATTTATTAGTACTGCCGTTTTTCTGTAACAGGCTTCATTTTTATACATCTGGGAGGCTGATACCCAAATAGAGAAAAGCTTTTCTCTAATTGTCACAAGTTCTCCCTATAACAAAGCTGCCTTTTGATGACCGGCACGAATTGAGAGAAATCGTAACGGACAGATACGGGGCATACAAGTTTCACTGGCTGAACAAGTTGCCTGAACTTGCCTGTATGAATTTAGTAATGCCTGTTTCTTTTTCAGAAATGTTACGTCTTCTCATTGTGCTACAGAGCCTGAAAATGGAATGCAGATACCTTTTGAGAAGGTAACACTTCAGTAGCTTCCCCTGTTGACAAAAAACTGAAGCTTGTGCTCAAAGTGACATGGGACTGGATGACTAAACAGTGGTTTCTGACCTTTTCACTTGGTTCCATCTCATCTTTGAGATTCAGTTCTACACAGCTGAATCACATTCTTTAGTACTGCAGCCTCCAGGAGGCTTCTTTGACCTGCCATTCACTCACTCTGCTTTCACCTATGGTACTCCTTCATCCACCCCCAGGCATGCACCTACAGGCAGCTCCAGGTCCCAAGACTACAGAGGATTAGCATTTGCTGATGTCCACCTGTCGGCAGCAAAAAAGCTTCCAAATGAATTATCAGTTACAGTAGTCTTCCTTGCAATCTCACCAGCAATGAATTACATTGTATTGCTGAACTTCAGAAAACCTTTGTTAAATACATAGTTCAGTTTGCACTCATTGCTTTTCAAGCAGTACATAAGTTTTCCCATTGGGGTGTGAGCATTTCTGCATTGTTTTCAGGGCAAAATTTCTGCTTCCCATGTGGAGGCTGTTTAGACTGTCATGTAGTGCTCTGTTGGGTTCCTGAAATGAACGATAGTGAAGTGGTGGTGGTAGATTAGGCTGTGGAGGGAGGCACAACTAAGTTTGACATTAGGTGTACAAGCATATGCATTCTGGATGAAGACTAGTGCTAGAATAAAATGGGAGGGGGGTTGAAGTGTGTGTTTCAGGTTTTCATTTTCTGTAAAATGTATCCCCAAGCAATATTTCACTTTCCTTTGAGAGCAACTGCTTGCAAAATGATACCTTGTCGGAAAAGGAGGATTGCGTCTCCATTGTGAATGCTCCCTCACCTTGAAGCTGGTGCATGTAGTTGATCAGTTGAAGCAGAATATGAACGGGGAAGCACATCTAAATATGTTTCTGGCTACAGCGAATGCTGAGTGGTTGGATGATCAGTATATCTGGAGGCAAATACAGATCCCCCCCCCCCTTCATACTGTTCCTTTCAACATGTGGATGTCCAGCCATCCTTCTCCAACTAGTTGCACCTGACCATGTGTGACTAGAATTGGATCAGAATGAGAGTCTGGCTGTTCAGTCCTTACTCACTGAGTGATGAAAACACCAGCACAGGGTCCAGTTGTTTGGGCATAGTCATGTGTTTCCTCTCCTCAGCGTGAGGTCCGTAGGAGGGCATCACCCTCAGTGGTGCATTAGGAGAGCATCACCCATCATAGCCAAATCTGGCCACAGTGCTCTGATGATGTGCTTATGAAGCAAGTTAAGGTTCAATAACTAGAACAGATGTGGGAAAATATGGGGTTTCTTTCACTCGTCCCCATGTCAACTAAATGCATAAACTTAATGGGAAAGATAGCTTCATGATACTTTTTAAAATGTATGTTGCATTATATTATTGCTGTTTCCTGTTTACTCACCCACCTAGAAACCCAGTTGTTCTAAACTTGATGAAACTGGCAGCCAAAACCCCGCGTGTCATTAGTGAATAGTGTATTGATAAGGTTTGAGCAGTTGCTAGGATTTCAGGGGTGGAAAATGGTCAGTAAAATCAGTAAAAGTCAGTTTTTTCATCTTGGTCAGTGATTTGTCAGTTTTTTAAAAAAATGGTCAGTAAAGTCAGTATGTCTTTGATTTTTGTGAATGCAGTTTGTGTTTTTTTTGTTTTCGTTACTGCATTTTGGGGAAAACATGACTTCCCAGTGAGAAGACAGATTGTTTTCAGTTCAGTTATGAAGTACTTTAAGGATTTTGTTCCTAGGAGTAAAAGTGATTGGGTGAAATCTTCCACAAAGTATAGAAACATAATTAACCTCTTAAAACAATGAGACAATGAAAACAGACGTGATGTTTTGTTGCACAAGTGCCCACTTATCTACACAGTTCACTGGAGTGTTCCAGAAAGAAGAGCCTTTGGTGCATGTGATGGACAGTGAAGTAAAAACACTCACAAGAACCATAATGAATCATGTTTGTAAGAGTTCAGCACCATTGTCTCTTGAAGCCTTCAGTGATGAGCACTACATACCTGTGAGAGAAGTAGTCAGTGAAAGTAGAATTTGACAAACTGAAAAAACTTTCCGAAAAGGAACAGCTAACTCTTAAGGGGAGCAACAACAAAAAATTCATAGCAGCCTGCAAACAGCTTTTACTCCAGTCATCTTTGGACAAGCCCATCCTCAGATATCTTCAGTGTGTAGCTCCAGCACAGAGAGTCAAGGAAGGAACCCACAAGGATATAATGAAAGTAGCAGCAGCACTCCCGATAGATATTTCACTGGACATGATTGCAGATGAATGGAAACTTCTTAGACTTGAAGATTAAACTGGAATCAGTTCTTTGAAAAAGACACACCCATCTGGAGATCCAAAATACCCACTGGTTACCAAGGTGGTGTAAGCAGCATTATCAGTATTGCATGGTAGTGCGGACATAGAAAGAGGGTTTTCAAAATCTGGATGCATTTTGACCAGTGAAAGGGCCAGGGTGTCAGAGAGATCTTTGAATGCCTACCTAATCATCAAAGAAACTTTATATCATATATACGAAAACAAGGTATACCATGTTAATATCACACAGGAGCTTTTAAGATGGCAAGAGCAGCTCATGTTCATTACAAGCAATATTATGATGAACAGCATGTCATTAGGTAAAGGTAAAGGTTCCCTTGCTCGAACTGCTGAACTACCGACCTTCCACAGCCTGTGGTTCATTGTCTTAACCACTTGAGCCACCGCAGCTCAGCATGTCATTAAAGAGGCGCAAAAAGAAAGAAAGGAAAAAGGCAGAGGAGTTAGGTTTAAGAAGATAGTGAAAAGGATAGTATACAAGAGAAGGAAGCAAAACTGAAAAAGCTGAGACAACAGAACGAGAAGAGGATAATAGCTCGAACACTGCTAAGTGATGCAACCAAACGTGTAAAGGTTGCTGAGAAAAAGGGTATTGTTGGATTCAACATGGCACAGCTTATGCTAGGAGTAAAGGAAGCAATGGAAAAAAAGCACAAGAAAAAAAATGCTTGTTGATGCAGTGGAGAAAACTGTTGAGAAACGAAAGAGTTTGTTAATAACTTCTTTCTTCATCAAAAAACCAAAGATAAAGTAAAAGCATAGACAAGTCTTAAAGGTAAAGGTAAAGGTTCCCTTGCTCGAAAGCCAGTCGAGTCCGACTCTAGGGTTGCGGTGCTCACCTCCCTTTCAAAGCCGAAGAGCCAGCGCTGTCCGAAGACGTTTCCGTGGTCATGTGGCCGGCATGACTAAACACCAAGGCGCACGGAACGCTGTTACCTTTCCACCGAAGTGGTACCTATTACCTTACAGTAATTATGTTTTGTCGTCATAATGATTTCTTTATGTGTGGTTTTTAATATGGTTTGCTGTTTTATTATCTGCAGTACTTATATTTAAAAAGGTATCTTTTTGCGTTAAATTTTGTACAATAATGAAAACATTGTCCTATCTTCATTTTAAAAAATCAATAAAAATATGCGATCCTTTTATCTGAATCACATCTGACTATGGAGATGGTGGAGGCCAGATAATCATTTTTAATGAAGTCCTCGTTTTACTTTTAAAAGTAAATTATCAGTAGGCTGACATTAAATTGTTCTGTAATTTGTCAGTTTTTTGTCAGTATTTCGTCAGGTTTTTAAAAATTTTGGTCAGTGAAGTCAGTATTTTTGACCCTCTGACTAGCTTCCACCCCTGGAATTTGGGGTGGTGCTTGTGATTAAATTTATAATTTAAGTATGTTGTGCAGTATGATGGTCTTTATCTGTAAGCCTGTCCTTTTAATCCTTGTGTTAATTTCCTGTTGTTTTAGGGATCGTCTATGGAAACTCCCAAGAGGACCGAGTATTCCAGTTCTCAAATCTTAAAATACAAAGGAAGAAGTAAACCAGCAGAAACTTCAAGGAAAAGACATGCTGGCATGTTCAAAAAGCCATCATCAGTTACAAGTGAAGATCCTCTTAAGAAAGCACAGGAGCAGCTGGCAGAAATTGTAAGGAATAGGTTGTTAATAGTTTTCATTAATTTAAGTTTGTATTAGAAAATTATCACAACTTGATTGCTTTGTACTCACTAGTCTCACTGTAGGATTAAAATAATATCCTGTTTAAATTATCAAAATTAGCACTCCTACACTGAATTAAATAGTTTATCAGAAACCTGGATGACGTAAGTTGTTTTCTCCGTTCTTGCTCTTTGTGACCTGACCAGTCTTCTGATCATTAGTTTTTTAGGCAGGATTTAGTTGCAGGTATTACACACATGTAGTAATAATAATAGAGGCACAATAAAAAGTTAAGCAATGATCACTAGGACTGCTTCACATATGAGGGGAAATTCTGGAATTCCTGCTATATGGATGTATGAAATGGGCACATGCTGCTGCATGCTGAAGCAGAGTTTCTCACACACACAATGTCTATGTAGAGACAGTGCAAACATAGAGCAGCTGCTTAATGGAAAGCAAATAACATTACGGTGTTTATGAGCCTGATAGTGGTGTGCTTGTTTTGTTAGTTTTCACTGCACGAGAGCCTCATCTGTTATAATTCATACGTGAGTTTATACCTACACCAGCAGTAAGATAGAACCAATCTACAGCTAGCTGTCTTCTATGCTAGATGTTCTGAGCTGGGGAGACTCCCAAGTCAGAGCCATTAGCTGACTTTTGAATAGCTCTTGTGTGTAGAGGTTGGAATGTTTATCAGGTAATCATGTATTTGACCACTAAATCCATTAATTATTCCAAGCAGGATATAGCAACGGTGATCTGCGTACTTTGCTGTTTCAAGGTTTAACTGTCCTCTTTGTACTAATGTTCAAAAAAGTTCCCCGGTGAATGAATATGACTTGTATCTGAAGTAGTGTGCATGCACATGTAATTTTATACGTTGAATTAAACTTTGTTGGTCTTAAAGGATGCAGCAACTGGACTCAAAATTTGTTCTGTTGCTTCAGACCAACACGGCTACCCACCTGAATCTTGTCTTTTCTTCAGGCTTTGCTTTTTTAATTAATTGCAGGTGGCAGATGCAGTTGTATCTGATTCGCCACAGAATACTGAAGGAAAAGGAAAAGAGTTGGATGACCTGATTGGCACCTTAGCTTTTAATCCCTTCTTAACTAGGAAACAAATTCCATTGACTCCGGAAAATCTGAGTGAGTTATTTTTCAAAATATTTAACCCTTAATTGTGTAAAATTTTAGTAAAGATCCTGGCTGTATTACAGTGTATTTGTAGTTAAAGTGCTTAAGGATCTGTTTCCTTTGCTGCAGGATTACGTAAATTTACAGAATGGATTTTCTCTTACAACTCAACCTTCTATTTGGTAATCCCTAGAGGGAGTGCTGCTGATCAAGCGCATACAGATTCTTAGCATGCAAGGGCTATGCATATTCTGTGACTCTATCATTCAAGCACTGCCTATAAATCCAGCCTTTGGCATGCTGAAGAACTGCATTATTTTTAAACAGCAAATCTGTACCTTTATGGCTGTAAAAACAGCCCTGACCTTGTGTGAACAAATGACTGGTGAAATTTCAGCATCGGGGAGAATGACCACTGTGAAGCCCTCCCTCAGAGGTTAGGGTTTAAGTGATCGCTCCTTCTTACTTTGCATTGCTAGAACAAAATATGAACATGTGCAAAATTTATGCAGACCAGTTTTTTTTAAAAAAACCATTGATAATGCATAGCCTTGCATTTACACTCTGGCTACTCTTTCTCTAAGGATCTCACATTTGTGGTATTGTGGACAGTGGGAGACTGTAGGGAGGTGAAGCTACAAGGAAACAGTGTTCTGCATACCACCAATTAGTTTTAAAGGTAGTGTTTCTAACTTGTAGTGCCATAGACCTTTATTTGGGGTGGGATTGACTAGAATGTGAAGGCACATTTAACCTTTTTCTTGTTTTGATTCAATTTTAGTTACTGAAATCAGAAGCTCATGGAAAAAAGCTATTCAGGCTGAAGAATCCCCAAGTATAGAATTGCATCATACTGCGTCATCAGAACACATGCCGCAGGTTGAGACTCCTTTGTTTAGAAACCGAATAGATTCAAGTATGGCATGCTTCATGTCTGCATGCATATCTGATACAGGGGGGTCGCCATTTGAGGAACTGCAGTCTACGTTTAGACTTCCGGAAGCAGCTACTAGCCATAATGAATTGCAGTCCCAGCAAGCAGATGTTGCCCCACCAGATGATCAGATATATTGCAAACAAGGATTAGTATGTGCTGTTCCAAATAAATGTAAAACAGAAAATCCAGAACTGGCTGTCAAGAGTTCTAATGACCCAGATTGTGGTCCAGGGGGAGATTTTGCAGAAGAGATCGAATTATCTTATCCATGTCAGGATTCTTCAATGAGTACAACTCTCCTTTGGAATGCTTCTCAGATAAGTGGCCTTAATTTAGATAGCCAAGAAGTCATCCATCTGGGCATACTTCAGGAAACTCTCCCAGAGGAAGGAGGAGGATCCATAAGTCTTAATAGTTCCAATAGTTTAGAAGGAGAAGAGCTGACAGAAGAAATCAGTGCCAGAGATTATCACAATTTTGCAGACAGTGCAAGGGGAACTGAGCAAAGATTGGACTTTCAGTCTATTCAAAGCAGATACGAAGCACTGAAGAAGACTTTTGTTGAAAACCAGGAATCACCTAGAAGGCAAATCCCGAAGGCGAGATCAGAATTTAGTCTTACTCAAACAAGTTTGGAAATGAATAATATGTTTAGCCCTTTGGGGAAGCCATATGCACTGGATGCAGAACTTGTCAAAAAGCCATCCCCTGTGACTCTGCTTGAAAGAAGGGTCAGTCTCCCCCCTCTTGTAGCATTTTCTCCACTTCACCCAAGAGACAGGTCAAGCAGACACGATCAAGGAGACATACTTCATAACGTGAAGGGTTAGTAGTGTTTACCTGATTTCCCCCCCCCCCCAGTAGTGATGGGTTCCTGTATGCACAGAGCCTTAGTATTCCTCTAGCTGTGTCCCTTTTGATAAGCCTTTGAGTATATATTCTGTTCAAAGTCTTCCTAATGAACCACCTCAGGCACAATAGGAATAAAACCATCCAAGTACTTTGAAATAAGTAATTGTATTAAAACTTGAAAACTAGGGACTGAGGCAATTTGCCATACTTTGGGAGATCAACACAGATTCGTTGGGGATCTATTTTGAACTGTATTTACTTACTGAAACATTGGTTAATCTGATGCTACAGGATCACCTTTTTACTGTTGGCTTTTTTCAGTGTTGTAAATACTCAAGATTGTTCACTAAAAACATGGCTCCTATAAGTATCTCTGTGCACACATTTTATAACTCAGTTGTTTCCTGTCCTCCTTTCCAGAGAAATCCCCTGAGACCTCCGAAACGCTGGTGCAGTAGTTGTAGGACGTGCATGGTTAAAAAGCTATATGCCTGGGGGTGGCAGTAAGGAGTAGAGGTTTGGTAGAACACAAGAAATTCTGTACGTGGAAGATCAGCCTGGCTCCTCCCATCACCTCCTTTCCCTGCAGCTGCCTCCTTGCTTGCTGCGTGGCTCTTTACCTCCTTTCCCTGCAGCTGCCTCCTTGCCTGCTGCGTGTTCATACAAGTCCCACCATGTCCAGTGCCTTATTCCTTGATGTGGAGAGTGCTACTGACAAACAGGAAGTCATTGTCTCTGCTAATGTTCTTACATGTGCATTTCATAGGATCCAAGACATTGATTCTTATGGCAACGTGAAGATTGTCATAGGGTTGCAATGCATTCTGTGGGGGAATGCAACTCAAAAATAAATTAGTGTAACACTGTTATCTGAACACATAGAGACTTGGGATACATTTTGTTAAGGCTAACTCCAGTATCATAATATAGTATACAAGCATTTGCATTTTCTAAAATTCCTGAGACTGGATGTTAAAAAAAATGGAAAAGAGGGGAATGGAGGAGGGGAGAAGCAGATCTCTCCCTAGTCATGTGGATGATGATGGGGGAGTAGTTTAACATATAAAACTGATACCTGCAGCTGACAAGAAGATGGCAAGCTTCCCTTTGGCTGCCTGGTAGAATGCACCCAGGGAGCTTATGAGAAGTGCTTTTGTAATGTATGCCAATATGCTAAAACTGATCATTGGAGCTGCATAATGGCTTTGCTCACTGGTCTGAAGCACATAAGTGAGATCTTATATTCTTATAGCCACCCATGGCTCTCTTCTGCAGATCCTTAAATCTGTGGATCGGGGCCACATGGGGGCTAAACAGCTTTGTCTTCAAACTTGGGGTACTCCCCAGGTTTGCAGAAAAATCTGAAATGAAAAAAAAAGAGGGGTTTAAATCCCCCCAGATACATTTGCGTTGTCTGTGCATGCCCAGACAACATTCTTACCAGAGGAGGATTCTCTCCAGCCAGACCCAGCGGCAGATCCCAACAACTTTTCTGGCCCTGGCCTCAAAGTCAAAGGGGATGACACTGGCAGCAGGTGCCCAACAGCAGAGGAGGATGCCAGCAGCTGTGCTGGGCTCAGCCGTGGTGGCAGAAGACGCGGGCAGCTGCGCCTGTCCACGGAGGACACCGGCAGCCATGCCGGCCTCAACAGAGGCCGTGGAGGATTCCAGCAACTGCACAGAGGGCACCGGCAGCTTCACCAGGCTCAGCTGTGGTGGCAGAAGACGTTGGCAGCCACCCTGGACCTGGCTCTGGTGACAGGACACCCTAGGCTCATTAGTTTCCCCCTATGAGTCTCCCCCCACCCAAGGTCTAAAAAGAGAAAAGTGGAGAATTAGCAGCAATGGGGATAGGGCTTTCTCCCTCCAAAAGTATTGCTGGTCCCCACTTGTTCATAGTACAATTTTTTTGTATCATGAATGTAATGTTATGAAATTAATGTGCAAAAATTTAGGAATATTGGGGTAAACAGCTTGTACTTTTGCTTTATGTGGGTATTAATATGCTAGTGGCCTGACATGGATAGCCCAGCCTAGCCTGACTTCTTCAGATCTCAGAAGCTAATCAGGGTCAGCCCTGGCTAGTATTTGGATGGGAGACCTCCAGGGAATACCAGGGTTGTGATGCAGAGTCAGGCAATGGCGAAACACCTCTGAAAATCTCTTGCATTGAAAACCCCACTGGGTCGCCATAATTCAGCTGTGTCTCGACAGCCCTTTCCACCACCACCAATATGCTAGTGGAAGAATTTGTGTAACACTAGATATATGGTGGAATCAGGAGCTATGTGAAACAGCTTGCACACATGGACCCAGTTCCAAAGAGCCTTGCATCTAGGTCTGCGTGTCTGCAGGGGCTTTGAGTTTGTTTTCCCCAGCCATGCTGTCCCACCAAACAGCTTTGGAACCTGTGGGGACTTTTCAGGGCAGCTTGTGTTCAGAGGATAGAAAGCGCCTTGGGGGTCCTTTAATTGAACCTTTGGATCCCAGTCATGGAACAGATTCTCTGGTCACACAATTTTGCTTTTATATATATGTATTCAACTCTCTTATGTGAATGGTTTTTGCATAGATAATAGTGCATGTAGACATCAGTTCTTGCAAGCATGTCCATGATTTGTCATTATGTGCATTTCCTCCTGTTGAGCATGCCTCAGAACTGAAACAGTTCCACTTTCACAGCAAACAGTAATTCCGTCTGAATTGCAAGCTGTGTTTTGTTCTACTTCCTCTACACTAGGATTCCAAACAGCATTTTAATCATGGTTTGGAATCTTGATGCTAAGGGAAGAAAACAAACCATGGTGTGCAATTCAGAGAAGATAACTTGCTCTGGAAGGGTTAAATTTCCAGTCTTCAGGTTTGGGGGGGGGGAGTATACTATCCTGAGTTTTCCTTGGTCGTCTTCATATAATGACAAATTATGGTTCAGATGTAAAGGCAAACTCTGTTATTTTGTAGGTCATGACTATAAAAACATCCCTTTGCAATTTCAAGTTTGTATTTAAGAATTTTAGTATAGACCTTTGCTTCATATATAAGCCTGCTTTTTTATGGGTCTTATTTGCCTCTAAAGCCCTAGATTTGTTTGGTTGAAGCACTGCTATTTAGGGAAGTTTTAAAATACAGAAAAGATGTTGAATAATTCATGTGACTCTTTTTCAGGAAAACATTGATGCTGGATGCAAAGGAATCTCCATCTACAGAGATCTGTCAAGATGAAGGATTGTTCACTGTACAGTTATGATGCACTGAACTTGGATTATAACACTTTATAAACTCTCATCTAAAGTATTTTCTCCAGTTTTTAACACTTACATTGATACTTTGCTATGCTAATCCTGACAAGTAATTGTAGGTTCCTTGCACAATCCCCATGATTTTAGGACTATTAATGATTTGACAGAGATTCTGAAGCATTGATGCCATGTAAGACTACTTGCAGATAAGAGCGTTTAATGGTAACACAGTGAATCAGATATTAAAGTATCTTGTTGAAATGGCAATTACATTTTAATCAGATTTTGGAAGACAGCAAGACTTTTTGCATACTTTTCCAATGAAAATGTTTTTGTAAATAATAATTGGCTAAGCCAATTGCCTACTCCCATATTTCATTTTTTCCTCTCGAGTGGGAAACTTGGATATTGAGAATAGTCTTAACTATAGATGTGTCAGTTTTCAGTTATCCAAGGATAAGCACTTACTTTTTGTGATATCTGTTGACGTCATGGAAAATGAACTTCAGTTGGTTTTTTTTGCAAGAAATCCTATACCTTGTGCCTATCTCTGTGTACTAAAACACAAAAGCTACAATTTCTTCACAATTGCCTTGAGTACCAGTAGTGTTCTCTGGATATTCAGTTTTCTCTGCTTCTGGCTAGGTGGATTTCTGTGCATGCCCAGAAAAAGTTGGTTGGTATTCAATAATTGCATTCAGTGAATGATTATCTTTAGTTCACTGACATTTTAACTTGGGAAGTAGAGGAATACTGACTACAGGGTGGTAATAGAGGTGCTAAACTAGAGTAGTAGGTATTATGTACTAATGCAAATTATGGGGAATTTTCTTTGTTGACTTACTTGCCCGAAACCTCTAGGAAGCTCACCAATTTCTAATAACCAGTGACTTTGAGCTCCAGTTTATCTTAAAATATTTATTAATGTTTTCCATTCAAAAATTGATTTTGCATAATAAACGTTCCTTGCTGAAATCTTGAAGATTTAAGCTGTTTTCTTTGTTGAATTCTGTGAAATAATGTTAAATTTATTTGCATCTTGAGTCTGGTGAACAAATCCAATTGGCATGTGATAGCAGTTCACTTAGTTTCTCTTGCCTCCCACCCAAGCCTGCCCTCAAACTAAGGGGAGGGGTCTGCTCACAGGTAGAATCTGGAAACCCTGACACGGGGGGGGGGGGGGGGTTTTTTCAAGGGGAAAAACTGAGGAAGATACAAACTCCTAGAAGAAGCTGAAGGGAGTCCCCATGTTGTTTCCAAATAGCTGGTCTGTCTTGTGCAGTAAAGGTATGTGAGGCAAAGCACCCCTGGCCTCCTCTCAAGGGTTAATATGTATAACAATGGGCCTGGTCTATTCTGTAGGTGTTACTAACTGGTCTTTGGATCTACACATCTCATCTTCAAGGCCAAAGTAGTTAGCTTCTGTGAGAACTTGTGGTCTGTGTGATGGGGGAGGGGGAGAACCAAGGGTGGTGAGATAATACTTCTAGATGTCATCATCACCTTATGAGCAGAGCCCATAAGGCCAAGGCCCTGGGGAAGATTGACTAGCTTGGAATTCCGATTGACTAGAGGCCTGAACAATGACACACAATTGCTAGTAATGTAGCTTTGGTGTTTGACTCTGAAATTTAAGGTTTGTGCTGTCTAATGCAGGTTCTGAAAAGTGTTAGTTAAGTTAGCTTTCTTGTTTTCCTGCTTTGTGATCATAGAGTAATGTGTTGCATGTAGAATAATTCATTATTTGACAGAAATTTAATAAACTTCATACAGTATTTTTTTAATAAGCAGAAGGTCTGGTTACTTGTGTGCAACAGCCCTGGGGACCCACAGGGTTCAGCTTTGGACTCCTTGACAAGGGGCAGTAATAATATTTGAGTGCCTTTTTGCATGTGGCAAGAAAATATGGGTACAAAATGGAAACTACAAAAAAGGCTGATGGCACTTTAGTGTAGTATACAAGTTTGTTTTGCATAGAGAGCCGACACCAAGTAACAGTTGACTCATTTCTTTGATTATCCTAGCTATAAGTGATAAATCCAGCTCTATAAATGATGAATTTATTCCAGCTGTATAAGTGATAAATCGAGTTTCTGGCCACTATTGAATAAATGTGCTGTAAATGCTCAAGGATTAGGAATAAGGAATTGAGAAACATGAATTAAATATTCTTTTTTCTTTTTTTAGATCTACATTAGCAGTGCTTTCAAAACACCACTTGTGAGGGGAAACAAATAACTTTTGTTGTCCTTTTTGTTTGTGCTTTCATTTTAGTTCACCGTATTTTACAGACTTATGGCTGATTGGAATAAATTTAATAATTCCCAAACCTGAACTGAGCCATTTATACCTTAAGGTGTCACTTACTCCCTAGGTTTCTGTAGGGCACTGTTTAAAATCTCCCTTGACAGTATTGCTGCCTGCAAGGTCCAGGTCTACCCTGGTGACTTCACAAAGGATCTCCAAGTGACTGCCCTAAGAGGTTATGATCAGTCCCCCACCTCTTTGTAGGACAGGCTGGAGTGAGTAGAGGTGTAAGCAGTAGTTTTAGGCAGGAGGACAAATTTTGCTGCTCAAGTGAACTTGAGTAGCTGGGATGTGCAGAATACTTTCTTCCACTACAACCTGCTGCAGTGTATTATGAAGTAATTAGCCTATAAGTTTACTCTCTACCCAGGAACTAGACAGAGACCACAGTCATCTCGCTTCATTATAATGCCACCTCTGACTCCACAACTCTCCCCATCTGCTGAAAAGTGCATATGTGAGATCTGCAATTGTGGGTATGTATATGAACTATCAGGATTCGTGTGTTATGTGGAACCATATTGCTCATATGACTCTCACAACTGTTGCACTGACAGTTGCTTTGCTTTGGGTGAAATAGTTTTTACTGGCTCAGCTTGTGAGTACAATTTAATTCCCCCTCCTGATGTCATATGGGTAGCCCTAAATTATGGAATGTTACAGCGCTCCAGTGGCCTTGTTTGGTGTAGTGGTTAAGTGCGTGGACTCTAATCTGGGAGAACCGGGTTTGATTCCCCACTCTTCCACTTGCACCTGGCTGGATGACCTTGGGCAAGCTGTAGTTCTGATAAGAGCTGTTCTTGAAAAAGAGCAGTTTCTGTCAAGAGCTCTCTCAGCCCCACGTACCTCACAGGGTGTCTGTTGTGGGGAGGGGAAGGGAAAGGAGTTTGTAAGCCACTCTGAGACACCTTTGGGTAGTGAAGGGTGGGGTATAAATCCAATCTCCTCTTCTTCTTGCTTGGTCGGCCCTATTATATGATGGCATGTTTTATATCCTACTTTGCTTAGAACTTTCATATCAGTTGATGAGAGGGCTCCAGGTGGTCTGTCACATAGGTGCTAAGGTTCACACCTGCTTAGCTGCTTCCGTTGGCATGCTTGCAGATAAATCACCGGTCAAGGTTCTACAATCTGCACTGATTGGGATGCTCATAAAACTAAGTTATCTCAACAGTTTCTTCTGTGGAGTGGAGAGTATCACAGTCAGTGTTCCCTGTATGCTGTGGAGTCTTGTGTGCAGAAATTCTGCTTTGTGAGCTGCTGGCATTACAGTTGTGAACAAGCGATCTGGCTACTGCATAAATTAGTTTGCTCTGGAGCCATCCTTCCTGAGCTAAGACAAAAAATGTGTGAGCTGGAGGCTAAAAAACTGTGAGCGAGGGAACACTGACTCACAATGTCAAAAGGCAAGATCCTACAACATTTTTGGCAGACTACATCAGTAGTTTATGTATAGAACTCAGTTGACCTATATTTATTCCCCTGGGCAATAGCTATAAAAGTGATCACATAATGGGACCAAAGCACCGTGACTCTCTGCTTATTTTCTGCAAGAGGAATGGCTCGATTTTAAGAAATTCACTTAGATTGCGGGGGAGACGGAGGATTGTGAAAAAAACAGTATCGTACTTATGTCTCTTATACTCCAAATTGCTCGTTGTGCTGTTACAACTTTTCTGTTTTCCATACTTGGGTGGGGAGGATTGGAATATTGAATTTAACACAAAACCTTGGACTGTAGACTGTTCAAAGTGTTTAACACAGAATATGTAATGTTTAGTTACTGGGGGTGATTTGATGCAAAGATAATTGGCTTGGGAAAATGAGGAATCTGTCCCTGGCTGGCCCTGTTGAGGCCATGTGGGAGATGACCCAACGCTGGCCTGTATCCAACTAGGTAGTTTTGAGGACTTAAGGGCACTTTTTAAAAAAGAGGTGATTTCTGGGAAATTTCTCCTTCCAAAAGCCCTACTTTGCCCCTATGCTGTTCTTGAGTGGCCGTTGCGCTGCTCCCCCCCCCCGAACCAAAATTTGAGTGCCACAGTGGGTTGCCTCGAAGTGGAGAATTGGCAGAAATCAAGAACAAACATGGCAGCCTCCCACTAAGGTACTGTGATGGTCAATCTCCAAGACATGTTTCCTGATCAAGATAAGAGAATCATGCTTTCCCCAGACCAATATATGGGTTTGGGGTTTTTTTGGTAACAATTAATAGTAGTTTATCGTCCACCATTTTCAAATTGGTGGAAATCATTGCTCCCTCCTAAGGAAACATATGCATCCTTATCTTCAGAACAACTTGATTGGATACAGTCCACTATGCTTGATGATTGTGAGAAATCTAGGCCAGCATATATAAAACTTAGTTAAGCTTTGTGTTTTGCTTTTCTATCATATCCCCCATACTTCTTATAAAGTATGAATGGGGGGGACGGACATCTCCCTGTTAATGATACCAAATCAGGAGTCAGCTGTCTAATTCTGTGATTGAGTTCTGGAATAAATGAGTGAAAAACATGAGGCACTGTACTCAGGCCAGTTCACCAGCTATGCGGTCCTCATAGCTGCTTGATGCCCTCTAATTTGGTGCCCCAATGTGAGATGAGGCAACAGTTGTGACCAATGCACTCTCTAAGCTGTGGCGTCTTGTGAGCAAAAATTCTACTTTGTGAGCTACGGGCATTAAAGTTGTGAGCGAGCGATTTGGCTGCTGCGTCAATTAGTCTGCTCCGGAGCCATCCTTCCTGAGCTGAGCCAAAGATGTGTGAACCGGAGGCTAAAAAATTGTGAGCTACCTCACACTAACTCAGCTTAGAGGGAACACTGGTTGTAACTTGTTCCAGCTGTTGCCTCAGACACTGGGTGTTGCTGCCACACCGGGCCCATGGCAGGCTGTAGAGGCTCTTTTCACCACCACCCCCATGGGATCCTGCTTGGATGGCTCATCTCCTCTTGTGTTGCTGCTGCCTTGGATTGGTCTAAGGTGGCCTGGCACAGAAGGTGCTTCCTCTGCAGTCCCACCTGTGGAGGGGCTGGCCCAGGAGGGGAGGGTGCTTGGGGTGGTGCTCTAGTTTGAGCCAACCCAGGCTATGCAGCAAATAATTCCTTCTTCCGTCTTGGGGTGGTGCTCTAGTTTGAGCCAACTCAGGCTATGCAGCAAATAATTCCTTCCATTAGAAAGGAAAAGAAACTAAAAACTAGATGAAATTAAACTAAACCCCCGTGTGAAAATGACTTAAGCTGAAGCTTTTGAAATTTCTGCTTCCTGCCAAAACCGTTGGGAGGCTCTTCTAGAGAGCATAATTAAACATACACAGTGATGTCTGTTTATTATACCATATTTCCTCTTTAGGCGGTGACCGGGGTGGTGGTTGCAAGTAAAGCACGACAGCTTCTGGAATGATCATTAGCAGCCACATCGTAGCAGTGTAGCCTGGGTCTGTCTGTCTCTTAACAAGAATCAAGCTTTGAAGGAAGTATAATGACAGGAGAGGAGCTAATGCCTGCAGTAGACAGTAGGGGAAACACAGCGATGCCCAAAAGATGGCAAATCACTCTCCAAGATGGTTTAAAGTGTAAAGCCATATCC